AGTGAAAACTTACATATTCGAGGCCACCTCATTCAAATGCTTTCCCATTATACGATTCTAATGCCAGCGGTGTTGTCAGAATTTGCAGAAAAGGAAAAAGTGCACAACATTTAGGTGAAGATACGTCCTAGCAATGTAATCGGGAGTCACAATGGATGGCACTTCATTTATTAATTCACATATTAGGAATAAACAGCTTTTGATAAGTTAACGCGGAGGTATAAAATTTCTGCCAAAATAATGCACACAAGTTCTGAGCGATATTGCTCCTCCTCTAATTCACCGTCCAATCGTATCCGCTCTTTCTCATCCCTGATACGAGGAATGGACATTTTTAGGTGCACGATGCAGTGCTGGACGGAGTCCAGGTATTTCGCGTTGAGACCGATTCAGCCTGGACCGAACTAATGGATGTACAAGTCAGCGTAACACCACCAAGCAGACCGCGCGAAAATCCGTTCAATAGCATCTTTCGTAAGAAAAGACAGGCGAAAATACAGGACTTCTCTGGGCTGCCAGACTACTGTCACTGTGAACCAGTTAAGGTCATCTGCCCTCCTGGCGCTCCTGGACCCGCTGGCGAACCCGGCGAAGACGGACGTAAGTTCTCCGAAACAAATTTTTTTCGAAGTCTTTCCTTAAACGGTTAAACACCTCCAGATCTAACAAGTTTAATCTATTCATCCAGATCTACTAGCGTTTATTTCTTCATTAAATTATCAGTTTCGATTTTTCCAGCTGATTCATCTCAGCATTTGTTTGCATAATGTTATTTGCAGCACCTGGACCACCAGGACCTCCCGGAGAAGACAACACAGTGACATACGCACCGGTGACATGCCCGCCTGCTGATACCTCCTGCATCAAGTGTCCCGCCGGCCCACCTGGACCACCAGGACCCGATGGAGAAGCCGGGCCAGCTGGACCCGATGGACAACCAGGACCTCCAGGACCACCAGGAGGTGAAGGCAAGGCGGGTCCACCAGGACCAGTTGGTGATGCCGGAGAGCCAGGGCCAATGGGACCAGCTGGTGAAGCAGGTCCACCTGGAAAAGACGGCGAGAAAGGCAAAGGTGCACCAGGACCTCAAGGACCTGCCGGACCGCCTGGGCCACCTGGAAATGCAGGTCCGGATGGCGAAAAAGGAGCTGAAGGACAACCTGGTCCAGAAGGCCCACCTGGTCCTCCCGGTCAGGATGGCGCTGCAGGCGAAGACGGCAAACCTGGAACCCCAGGCGGACCAGGCCTTCCAGGAAACGATGCAGCTTATTGTCCGTGCCCACCTCGTTCTGCTGTCTTCATCAGTCGTTTCACACAGTGAAATAACGAAGGGAATTGTTGTGCACAAAAGATTTTCCGACAGTTTAACGAATAAAAGAAATGCATTTTTTTCTGCATTGGAGCAGATTTCCTAGTTATCACAAAAGAAGAACATTTCAAAATGAAAACAATTCATTCTGAACTTAAAAAATCCTGAGAAACAGGCTACTGCTTGCAGATGCAATAACAGTAATACTGAGACAAGTCAAAAAGCCTCACTTGCGTTTCTAATCGCATAATTCACCGAGCAACAATATTCAATGACACTCACAATGGGAAGAAAAAACTTTGATTTTGAAAATGGACGATAATGTGAGCACACACTAGGAACTTGAGGAATCAAACTCTAAAACTTTTAATTTGCAACTTTACGTTCAGAGTTGTTTCAAAAGTCAAACCTCTTTCGTATTCACTTTCTTTTAAAAGCAAAGATGCTTAGTAAATGCCAGCAGCAACCAGTCGTTGGCAAGGCTGTCGTTGGCACCTTTGGAGGACTGCTTGCAAGCAAGCCGATCGTGGTTTGATCTTAACATATGTCGGTACCAATTTACCATCAAATAGAAGAACTAATCGTAAAGGATACTCCGTCGGCGGAGCCACCCATCGAAGTACTACTTCCCACAGCGTTGTGCTCACTGGTAGGGTTGTATCAGTAGATTGGAAACAGATGTATTTTTCTGAAAATGGGTTTTACGTTTGTTGAAGATGTAACCACAGGCTATTCATCAAAACTTCACTTTTCAAGATCTTGCAGTTCTAAGGCTGAATTACCCAAGAGGTAAATACAAAGACGCATACAATATTCAAACTTGAGCGTATCACGATTTGAGTCATGCAAGAACACAAAAAATAAATGGTATGAGATATGTATAAAATTGCAATTTGCTACACCACTCAGCAGCGGAACAAGGCAAAAATGATTGGGTATTGGAATGCAGCGAATCGACACTTAGATCATCGAATATGAAGATATCCGAGATGTTTGTTATGTTTCTCGATGACTGGGGACACCGCAGTTGCAGTATCACACACATCACTCCGTACACCTCCATCAAATTAATTGGTCCTTTTCGCACTCCTTTTTGAAATACTGTAGAAATCCAAAAATTTTGTGGATACTATTGTTGGTAGTATTTCTATCACTGTAAATTCCTACACTAGCCAAAATAATTAAATTTTCAAAA